CTATAATTCGCGTAAAATAGTGAAATTCCTATAATTAAAGTGATATTATTATAGGTAAATTATGTAATGAGTAATAGTGATACCTAGTTATTCTATTAAAAATTAATGTAGTATTATAAGTATTATTCTAATATCTAATTTATTCTTTTTATTTATTTATTACTTTATGGGTAGAACACTATTAATAACTTTTAATGAACTCCTATAAGGTTCATTAGGGATTACTAAAACTATAATATAAATAGTTTGTCTTAATTTAAGTGTATTTCTAATGGTATCCTATATTAGCTAATAATAGTTTTATAAAGTGTGTAAACTAACTTTTCTGCTATTAATACTTCTTTATATAGAATAAAATGCGTATATTTTATTAGGATATTATTTACTATAAGTATACTGTTAAAGTCTATACCTATAAGGGGTTCTCTAGACTTAGGTAACTTAGTAATAAAGTCTAATGCGATTATGTGCTATGCTTCTCCTAGTATTATTAATATTTAGAGTAATCTATATAGTTTATATTAGGTATACTTTACTTTATGGTATATATTATAATTCTTAATGTAGTCTATTATATCTTTCCTAACTTCTTTTTAGGTGAAGTCCCTTATGACTAGTTTAAGTGTTTTCTTAATACCTAGGTATCCTACTAACTTATTATTATATTATTCTCTAATGATTTCCTCTTTTTGTTATTTTGTTAGCTTAACTTCCATGAATACTAGCGCCTAAATTTCTGGTGTGGCATATATTAAGGCGCCATTCTTTTCCTTAAGTATTACCATAGGTTCCGGTTTAATATCTTTTATATAATCTAGCTATTAATTAAGCGCGTCTACTATAGTGTTTTCTTTTCCTTAGATATAATGTATTTAGAAGTTATATAGTGTAAGTATTTCTACCTATTAAACTTATCTTCTATTAAGTTCTTTTATTATTATTTAGTATAATAAATTCTTATGGTTAGTATAGATCTAAATTTAATACTTAGTACCTTTAAGATATACTCTTTATTCCTTAAAATATTTAACTATTATAAGTAGTTCTTTATTATGAATGTTATAGTTTAATTTTAGCCCTGTTATCTTTCTTAAGTAGTATATCATAGTATAAGTCTTACTATCTAGTCCCTTTTGCGTGAGATAGGCCCTAATTACTCTATTTAATATATTTATTTTTACCTAGTATTTTAGCTTAGAGTTATATATTATAAGTACTAGTGCCATTATAATGGCTTTCTTAAGGCAGTTAAATACTTCTTTATATTTTTATTCAAATTTGAATAAGATATCCTTCCTAATAAGGTTCATTAATGGCGCTACAATCTTTAAAAATCCCTTAATAAATTTTTGGTAATAGTTAAGTAGTCTAATGAAGGCCTATATCTTTATAATATTCTTAGGTTTTAGCTAATCTTAGATTAGCTCTATCTTATTAGGGTTCACTTTAATACTTTCATTAGATATAATATAGCTTAAGAAATAGATACGTTATTTATAAAACTCATATTTACTTAGTTTTATAGGTAAATCCTTTTCCTTTAATTTGTGAAGAACCTTTCAAATATATTTTATATATTCTTTATATATCTTTAAGAATATAAGTATATTATTTAGATATACTATTACAAAATCATTAAGATATTCTTAGAGTATATTATTAATTAATTCCTAAAAAGTTATTAATGCATTACTTAATCTAAAAGGCATGACGTAATATTTATATAACCTAAAATAGGTTTTAAAGGTAGTTATCTATTTATAATCTTCCTTTATTCGTATTTAGTAGTAAATATTCTATATATTAATTACGGTGAAGTATTTTACTCTAAGGAGTCTATTCTATAGTTCCTTAATTAAGGGTAATAAATATTAGTTCTTTTTCGTGATTATATTAAGTGATTAAAAGTTAATGCATAGTTAAAGAGATCCATTTTTCTTTAGGGTAAATAGTACTCTATATACTATAAATAACTTAGATAGTCTAATAAAGCCTTTCTTTAAATAAGTCTTAATATACTCCTTAAGGAAATCTTTTTCTTTCCTAAATAGTTACTTAAGTTACCCGTTATATTTAGGCACTTTTCTATCTTTAAGCGTGATTTTATGGTTCTATGGTTAGTGTTTTAGTAGCGTGACTAACCCTTCTTTCTCTTTAAAGAGGTCTTTAAAATCCTTATATTTCTCTAGTAGGCTTACCTTTTCTATACGATTTAAGGCCCTTCTTCTAGGTTATACCTATACTGCTCTCTATAGAGGTACTTTAGAAGTTAATCGTTTCTTTCGCTTCTTCCTTTCATGACTATAATTTAGGAAGGATAAGGTTCGTTCTTTTTAGCTTATCTCTAAATTATGTTCCTAAAGCTATTTTAGTCTTAGAACTATATTATACTTAGTTAGTATTATATTAATGTTAATCCTTTCACAGTAATTACTAATTTCTAACTAAGTGTCCTAGATTTCTTTTTATATCCATTCACTATTATACTTTATTAGTGTTCTATTCGCTATAAGTAATAGATATAGTTATTTCTTTTTATGTATTTTAAATCTTATTACTACCTTTAGTAATATATAGTCTTAATTAGCTTTATAGTTAATTATTACCTATATAGACTTATTAGCTAATTTAGCGCTAAAGATTAATGATATTAAACGCTAGATCTATATTATATTAAATTAGCTAGCCTAAGACTTTTTTTATTAAGGGGTCTTCTACCTTAAGAGGACTTCTCTTCGCCGTTTTTTAGTATATTATTTATATTTATATTCTTCTTTCTATAGATTTATTAAAGGATCTCTAGCGATATCTTAATATCTACCTTTTCTGTGCTTCCTTTATTATGCGCATATAATTCTAGCGTAAAGGTACACTGCATATCTCTATATAGATTTACCTATATAGTGCGCGGTGTTCTTAGTCTTACCTTAGGGTTAAATACTGCGTAATAATGTTACGTATCCTATAGGTAGTGTTATTACTAGCATAATATCGGTTTTTAGTAGGGTATAAGGATAACATAATATGCCTTAGTTATACTAAGCATAATAAACTTAACTAGGTTATCTTCCTTATCTAGGGAATTAATTATCATGAATTCTTCTTCTTTATCTAAGTCACTATTAAGTGAGTAATGTATTTCGCTTCTATACACTTTATATATATGTATTTCTTTATATGGGTATAGCTTATCTTAACACATATTTAGAGCTATTATTCTTTATCTCTAATTAGGGTTACTATAGGGTATAAATCGTATGTTTTCACCTAGTGTGATTAACTAATAGTGCGTTCTAATTATTATGGCTCCTAGTGTCTTTTCTTTTTTGTAATAGTGTCCTATAATGTCCTAATTAATCTCCTATAGTGCGAGGTTTTCCTTTTCTTTAAATGGAAAAAAGTATAGTAGCTTTATACTGGTTTAATATGTATGAGGCCTAAGGCCTTCGCACTTAAAGCATTACTATATAAAAACTTCTTATGCTTCTTTCTATTTCGTAATATAATCTAGGTAATAGCTATTATTTACTAACCTTATCTTTAGTATTTACTCCTTATAATAGACCTAATTTATAGTCTTAATAACTACATAATAATAGCTATAAAATAACATAATGTTATATAGTGAGTTAGAGTCCTTAGGGTCCTAGTCTAGTTCGTTTTTTTCCCTAAATAGAAACTTATAACGCTCTTTCCCTAGCACGTTATATATGTGTACTAGTGTGGCATAGATTAAGCTTTTATATGCTATGATAGGGACTAGATTCTCTCTAATCTTAGGGTCTTCTTATGAGTTAATTCTTCTATATACTATTATGTAATTAGTAGGGTAATACTATGTGCATAGTATATTTATTTAGTACTTTATTATTAGTATCGCGATATTATCATAATTCGTAATAACTTAGTATTTATCTATATACTATAACGTTAGTTACTACTCTATAGTAATAATATCTTTAGATTCCACGAGAATAAATTCTTCTTCTTTATTATCACTAAGTATTTAGCCTTCTGCACCGCTATTAGTATTATTATCCTAAGAAAAGAAGTGTATAAGCATTATTCTATGAATATTATGCGTATATACTCCTTTTTTCTTACTAATATATATCTCCTAGTGATATATATTTATAGTGATTATACGCTTAGCTTACTACTTTCCCCTAAAGGGTTATAACACTATTTATTCACTAATCTCTATTCACTAGTGTATTATTACTATTACTTATGTTATATCCCTCTAAACTAGTTTATACTCTTTACTAATCTCTTAGTCTAACTATTTTATTAGGATCTCTTTATATGATTTAAATGAAAAGCTATACTTTCTATTCCCTTTAGCTAAGTAAATATGTGATTTATTGTCTAAACACTAGAAATACCTTTATACCCTTAGAGTTATACTTAACTAATATGGGTGAGCGCCTTCCTATAGAGTAAACATTACCTATTCGCGCGCATTACGCTTTTAATAGTGTGTTCAGACCTTAGCTAAAGTGTATCCCATACTGATAATCTTATATAGGGGTTCTTTAGCCTCCATGATAGCTAATATTTTATCCTAGTTAGCGTCTTTTATCTTGTGTGCCTTGTTTTAACGATTTCTACACTTTCTTTTGTGAGGAAATTATCCTGATCCCTACTTATTAAAGATATGAATAGAGCAGTTATTATTATAGTAGGCAGTCCAAGATAGTCGCGCATGTGCGGCCTTATTATCAGCCTTTTTATTGGCTTCTTTACCCTGTTCCTTTAGACTAGGAAAGATTCCTATAGTCATGATAATCTCTTCATTATGTTCTAATAGTGATAGTGAAGTCACTCCCTTTACCTAGGTCCTTTTAAGTGTTCCCTTCTGTACTTTCTTAGCGTGGCTAGCCGTTTTAATGATGTTCTCCTTATCTAAGGAGTCGCGAAGAGTCTAGTAGTATCACTACCTTTTATTATATAGGCGGTATACTTTATTAACCCCCTCCGTAAATGCTTTCAATCAGCACTTAAGTTCTAATACTTTTATTAGAGTGTCAGCCTTTTCTTCTCTAATACTAGTTATTACTTCCATAATATGTAGTCTTATAGGCTTTATACCGTATTCTTTTACCTAGTGTCCGGATTTTTTATAATTATAGTATAGGTTTTCTTTCTTTTATCGCTCTTGCTCCTTACTAAATGGTCCCTTACGCTAGAAGCGACCCTTAGGTTATGAGGACTAACCTTCTTTCATGGAGTTAAGATTCATTAGGTCTCTATAGAACTAGTAGTTATTATGATTACCTTTGTAGTAAGTACCTTTAGTCTTTTCATGGTATCCCTTCCTTTCTAAACTTAGCTTATAAAGCTAGTTATTAACTTTAATGGCTTTATTAATTAGTCCCTAATAAGTCTTAAGCCTTTTTAGGCCTAACCCCTTCTTAATGCTATTCTTTAGTCTAGTATAAAAGGCGATAGTAAACACATTATTATTCTAGTCTAACTTAGCCTAAAGTCTCTTAAATAAGGCATAATACTGCGTGGCTAACCCCTTTTGCTTAAGCTAATAGATTCGTTAGGTAGTGGCCTATTTCTTTCCTAGTGTTCTAAAGATCTATTAAAGGTATTTAAGAAACATTGTAAAGTTACTAAAGATAGTAGTGATCTTAGGGTTCTTCTATCCCTTAGGGAATATTAGGTAATCTATCATAATAAGTTTAAACTAATGGAAGGCCGATCCCTTCATGTGGAGTTCTACAAATAAGACTCTATCTTTATAGATAATGTATTTAGTACGATTTAGCTTAAAGGTCGCGATGAGTTAAGTGATAAATAACCCTAACTTCTCACGAGCCCTATAGAACGCGTTAACTTTGGTGTTGTCCTTATTATTACTACTATGGCCTTCACTATAGTTAGAGGTGTGAGAGGATGGTCTAGGTGTTAGCGCGCCTAGGGCGGACCGAACTAAACCCATAGGGGATGGTAAGCGGATAGGAGCTTTGGAGCTAGATATCATGTTAAATACTTTCGATTAAGAGATAGTTAAAGTGTTACGTTTCGCTTCATATAGAGTGTTATAAGATATATAGTCTTAATAGGTGAGAAGTATAAGAGATAAAGTCACTAAAAGCGCGGTACTTAAGCGAGTATAAGAGCGAAGTGATCATAACCAAAACGTATGGGTATAATTATGAATAAAGTTAACTACGTGATAAAGCTATGTAATGACTGTGCATATATAGTCCTCTGTGCTTAGTGGTGCTTAGTGGTGCTTAGTGTTACTCAGCCTAATTACTACTGATTATAACTGAGCGTAGCTAATCGCCCTTAGTCACGTGACCCCTAACTTTAGTCACCCTAAGCTTCTCTTAGTATTCCTACCTCATAGGGTTAATAGCTATTATCATAGCTTTATCTGCGGCCTATAGGCTAGGCCCGCTCATAACATATTACTTTATACTATAGTAATATTTATAGCTATATAATAAATACTAAGAAGTTAAATTAGATTATATTTATAGTGTTTATAGATAAATTTTCTTTTATTAATTTATACTTAAGGTATAATAAGCTAAAATTAAGTAAAGATAAACCTTTAAATATACTTAATAAATAATAAAACTAAAAGTAATAAGAATTAATAGTTTCATAATAATATAGTGAGATAAATAGTTACTAATAATTTATTAGTGTAATGAAAGTTATGAAATAAAAGTTACGCTAGTAACGCTAAGACTTAATTTATATATGTAATAATTATTACTATAGACTAGAATAGTGTTAAGGTTAGGTATTAGGTTTTAGGTTTAGGTTACTTTACTTATTATGTAGCCTAGGTTTCTTAATAAGTAAGAAGTATAGAAAGAGAGATATCTTTAAGGGTATATAGTATATTAAGTGTACTAATATACTATAAGTAAAGTAATTATCACTAAAATATATAGATATAATTATAAACGAAGTTAACTACGTAATAAAGCTATATAATAACTATATATATATAGCCATTATTTTTCCTAGCTTTATTTAGCTCTATAGGGTTTACTACTAAAGCCTTAGAAGTCATGAGATCCTTAAACTCTATATTAACCTATTATAGACCCTAAAGAGCCTTCCTATTACGTGACAAAGTTTCTCTATCCTTTATGTGCCCCTAAGTAATACCGCTAAGTGACTATTGTTATAGCTTTGTCTGTGGCCTTATAAGAGGCCTTAATTCGTAATAAATAGCTTTATTTTGTAAAAGAGTGTGTTAAATAGTTAAGGGCCTCCTATGCGAAGTACTTCGCTAAAATAGTCTTTATAAGTTAAGGCCTATTTTAAGACGCTCTTTACTACCCTAGTTTAGTACCTATTTCTCTTTCTATTCTATCTGATAAAGCGCTTATTATTAAGGTAATCTTTAGGGCCTTATTCTTTAGGCCTATATATACAGTATACTATTATTTCGGGAGTTAATGCGGCAACAAGGAATGCCTTAATTAGAGGAAGAATTACACTCCTTTTTGCTATATAATAAATAGAGAACCGCCTCATAGTTATTAAGGTTAGACTTGACAATATATCATATTAGACCCCTAACAATCAAATTACCTAGGTTACACTCCGTCTAACAATTAATTAAGGACTTCTCGCGCTTTTGCTTCGTCATTCGCCTGCCGCCCTCGCCGTCTTCTGTCCTTCTGAATCACAAAGTACCATGACAACAATATCGACGTGATCGACACGATCAGAAAACATAAACAAATTATATATGAGACATGGTAACTCGGGCCAAACACTGTGCTGTAGACGTGAGGTCCGACGATGCCTCCAAATTGAGCCATGGCATTTGTCCAGCCAATTCCAATGCCAGCTCCAACAGTACCTTCGAGGGCGCGGATACGTTCAGGCCATATGACTGGATATGCAGAGCCAGCGCAAGATACAGCGACAATGAGTGCCAGGTACTTTACCACAGGGCTGTGCACGGTGATGAGGATGATGTAGCATATGACGGTGGTGCCCTCAACTGTGAATGATTATGTTAGTGTTAATAGCTGAAATCAAAAGGTAAAGAGTAAAGCCTACTTGAGACAGCGGTTGTCCATGGACGAATCCATTTCTTATGCAGAAGTCGACCTAGCGTATTGAGCAAGATGAAGCACGAGACGTAGGGGGGCTATGTTGAGGTTGCGTTAGTCGTCCTCATATCGCTGATGTACCAGGTAGACAGAACTTACGATGTTCATCAACTGCGACTTGGCTGTCGTCGTGAAGCCAAGCTGATAAATTACGGTCGGTAGCGCGTAATTGATGCCGAAGCCCCCGATACCATGTGCGAGCCAGTAAACTGTAAAAGTGTACGTGCTTGGGTCACGCAGAAAGATCTTCAGCGATGACCAGTCCCAATTGCCTTTCTTCCCTTTTGGCGCAGTAACACTTAGTCTCTCGGCCATGTAAGCTCGTTCTTTCTCATTTAACATCCGTGCCGTTTCAGGGTAATCTGGCAGCCCGAAAAGCGCGATGAAGGATAGGATGATTGCTGGCAATCCTTCGAGGAGAAAGAGCCAACGCCATCCTGCGAGGTTGCCTAGCCCATCCATATAAGAAATTCCAAAGGCTAATAACCCGCTTAGTGCGCTTGAAAGCTGACCGACCGAGTAGAATAGGGCGATGCGCCATGGGAGTTCCTTGGGTTTGTAGAAGAAATCCATATGGTAGAGCACGGCAGGGTACTACTTTGTCATTAGTAAATAAAGACATGGGTTACGCGCGGTATCATGGATGAGGAAGTAGACGTACAAAACCAGCCTCAGCTGCGCCAATAGCGAATCGTACACACATCATGCCCTGGAAGCTTTGGACAGCTGCTGCTGAGCATGCGCAAATCCCCCAGGCGAGGATGAGGACGAACATCCATCTTGAGGGTCGGAAGGTCTTTAATAACAGTGTGTTTGTGGGCTCGAAGATTAGATAGCTGTATGAGAAGATAGACAAAGTCCACGCCCACATGCCAGGTGTGAAATGCATTTCTTTCTTTATGCCCGTACCGTGTTCAAGATTGATAATGGCAGCATTGGAATAATTCGATGAATCGATAACCCGAAAAACATACACGGTCGAGTAGAAACCAACAAGCCAGAAGTCGACCTTGCGTTTGACTCTTTTCTCAAAGTTTGCGTCCACCGCAATATCACTCGAAGTATCAATCTGACTGTCAGAGGGCGAAGGAGGGGCCTGGGAGGTGAAAGTCTCCCCGGGTGTCTTATCGGTCGACATCCCGGGAAAGACAAATTCAGGCATGTCAGGGAATCAAGGTCAATGATTGCTAATCCAGAATCTGAGGGCCAACGACTGACCAGCTCAACCACGAGAGAAGAGCACATGGTGTACTGGCCTGCGCTCTTGGTATTTAACCAGGAGACGGCAATACGGCTTCTTCATCACGACATCAATGAGAAAAAGGCGTCACGTCGACCCAGTAACTCCTTGCAGTCAAGTTCAACGGGTCCAGATTCGCACAGATAGCGAAACATGATCTCTGTATTAGGCCGGACTAGCATTCAGGACTTTGACGATAGCCGCACTTCCAGTATCAGAGCAACGTTCATAGAAGCAATTATCTTGACTACCCGCATTCCGTCTGGGTGTGGGGGCGCCACCCATTTGCAAAATCTCCGATAGGATTTTTCTGACGTGGGATCATCGAGGGTTGCAGCAATCACGACTCTTTAGCACAAAAGCACGTAATCAGCGTGGGTGGTGATAGCATTCCCCGACACAGAACGGAGGTCTTATGTCTCAGGGTCTGACTCCCATCACATAGAGATACGTACCTTTCAGCAGACCCCGCACTTTATAAAGAGAAGGCAAAAGCCCGATATTGAAGCGGTACATTCTTTCTTTGCTCCAATTATCAAATCGATAGTTCCAGAGTGTTTATTTCAAGCCTTGGAATTAACCGCAATATGGCACCATCAGCTATTGAAAACCCTGTTTCTAAGGTGTCTCCAAGTCAAATTCTGGTGAAGCCATGGAGCCGCCCAGCCCATACCAAGGAAAACCTCGATTGGGCTCCGTTGACCAAGATTGATCTCTCGCGCTTCGATCAGCCTGGTGGAAAGCAAGCACTAGCCAAAGAGCTCTACGATGCCGTCACTAGAGTTGGCTTCTGGACTGTCGTCAATTCAGGAATTGACGATGCACGAGTCCTTCGCCAATTTAGCGTTGGAAACACTTTCTTTAAGGAACCGCTAGAGGAAAAGCGCAGATTTCCCTGTAACTTTGCTGAAGGAGAATACTTTGGATATCGAGAGAATAGCCGCTGGGTGGGTGACACTGGTGTTAAAGAGAACATCGAAATGGTTTGTTATTAGCATATGATATGTGTTCATTCTCTTACTTTTATTAGCTTAATATCCCGAAAGCTATCTCGGCATATACTGATGTTGGTAAACATAAGATAGTTGAGGAGCATTATGATGAGATTGCCACTTTCCATCGAGAGCTCTGGGAGAAGGTGATACGAAAACTCTTCGTTCTGATCGCCATTATTCTAGAGCTACCAGAGAATTACTTGGTTAAAGCTCATGACTACGACCAGGAGTCAGACGATCATCTCAGGTATATGATATATAATGTCAGAACTCAAGATGAGTGGGATCGTACGCAGGCCTACTCTAAGGGCGGGCACACCGATTTCGGAAGTTTAACGCTCCTCTTCTCTCAACATGTCGCTGGCTTGCAAATCCGCACGCCTGAAGGAGAATGGAAGTCGGTTAAGCCAGTTGAAGGTGGCATTACTTGTAATGCCGCTGATACTTTGACTTTCCTGACGAATGGTAAGTGAATGTAATTACGACAAAAGGGAGTCTATACTTATCTCTTGGGGAACAGGCTTCATCAAATCCACCGTTCATCGAGTCGTGACACCACCAAAGGATCAGATCCAGATCCCACGTCTTGGATTGCTATACTTTAGCCGTCCAGGTGCAAATACGCCCATGAAGACTGTGCCATCGCCGCTCTTGGATCGCTTAGGTCTTTTGAGCGCCGAGGATAAGGATGAGACACGAATAGTCCCAACCGGAACCGAGTATGTGCGAGCTCGTGTCAAGGACGTCCATTACAAGACCGTCCTCGACAAGCGAGAGGGCACGTCTTTCGAATTCAACGGACTAAAAGTGCAGAACTATTATGAGTGAACATGAGAGTCGCTGCAGCAGTGTTGTAATGATGCGGCCTTGCAATAGCGAGTCAATAGAAAGGAACAAGACGCGAGCCTGCAATGAAAAATAAGCTATAAACATATGAATGAAGCAAGCCCTGCTGCGTTCCAGCATTTTCGATGTTAAAGACGTAATACAGACAGCACGAGTTTTAAAATTATGTAATGACTCGGTGCCGGGTTCAAGGATTGCACAAGCGATGATGTCGTCTATCTCAATACTCAGGACGACTCCGTACGGAGTTAGACAAAGGAAAATGCGAAGAAACCAGAGTCGGCCAAGATAATGCGCACGCGATCTTAGTCACGAAATCGATTCCTACGAGATGACTCCCTACTGCCTTGACCTTGGTCTTGTACCACCGGACCGAGCCTGCACGCTCACTTGCGCCTACTTTCCTAGCACAGCTGCGATTCTCAGAAGACTGATGCCGTGCGAAAGCTTCAATCAAGATCCGCGGACTACGAAGAGCTAGAGGGTGAAAATGCCCCAATGTGAATCGAAAGAGATGGTCTGTCACGCAAAAGAAACACATCGCCCCACAGAGCGCACATTTTGAGGACACCATATCTTATCACACCGTTGCCACCGCCACCACCACCACGCGTGTATCACGCAAGCGAGGCTGGCAATGGCAGCATCGCCCACTAAGCAATTAATGATTGGCCACATTCCTGGTCATTTGCCCGAGGCTTGAACAATTGCCACCATTTCTGGGGTAATGCTTGATGTGCCAAACGGCTGGGAAGGTCAGATTGTCGCTCAATATGCTTGGGAAATTGCGCCATATGGTGACAGTTGTTTTTGAGAGGCCTTAACTTCTGCAATTTTTGACAGAGTGGGAAGTATATAACAATAGCATTTGCATCCAGTGCTCGGATTCATCATTACTTCCTGTTAAGATTTTGCGGATCTGGGCTTCCCATCAGTATTCGCAACCAAATCTATTCAACTCACTTCATCATGGCAGGCCAGAAATTGACAGAGCTACGCGGCCTGGTAATTCGCACCAGAAGTCTATCTCCAGCTCAATCCGAAGCAAGTGATGAGCTCATGGAGAAAGATTATGTACACCATCAATCCGATACTGCGATGGCGTATCCCACACTCAACCTGGTCGACCTACTGAAAAACAATGAAGCCGATGAATTGCTTCGAGATCTCGCCGCTAAAAGTCCGCCAATTCGAGCTTATCTCCGAATGAACTCTACCTCACCAAATGTCGAGACTTTCCCCGACTTCTGGGACCCTGTAGACAAAAGAGCTCCACGAAGGGTTTCCAGGAGACGGTCGTTCAGCGCTTGAATATATTGAGATATGATTCAAATCAATCAGAGTGGGAGCTATCCCTGCACTGCTAAAGGGACTTCGACGCTAACTCTTTCCTCTCAAGCTGGAACAATTGATCGAAGATAGTCATCGCTGCCTTCGTGCCTTCAACAATCGTGGAGATTGCAAAATTCTCAAGATCATGGAGGTCGCCGTGGCTTTGCCAGATATCAAAATCGTCGAAACCTAGAAACGAGCACCGGTGCTTGAACGAGGACACATGTTACAGTCGACCCGGGTGAGAATTTCAGAAGATCATGATTGATCTTCAGAGGGCTCGTCCAACACCGACATGACTTGTGGCAAGGTGCATAGTTATACGACACGTCGAAGACGCATGCCAATCTGCACCTGTTCCACAGTCTCGTCGATGCGTTCGAAGTATATCGTCTTGATGAATGAACATGCTCGATGCTAGTGCCACATCCGCTCGATGCTCCTGCTGAGATGGCATGCGGATAGTGGTTAGATTCGCAATAAGTGCTACTACAAAGCATAATGGTGGCTCACTGATGCCGACCGAAGTCAAGGGTTAAGGCCAAGCCGAAAGATAGCTCAACTAGCGAGCACAAGTCGAACTTACAACATCGATGCCTGCATTCGATGTTTGCGAATAGGCGAATGGAAACCCGTAATCCACCCCACATCGAAGATAAGGATCAGGCTTTATTAAGCTTATAAAGTCCATCTGTAAACATGTGTCGTACAATCGCGGGCCATGTAAAGTTTCAAATAGTGAGAGTACATGACTCTCGATGCAATGTCACAAGCACCGTTCTCATAAGTAGGCTGTTTCTGCTGCGTGCTCACTGCACCCTCGTCTATATACTTCCACGTTAGATCGTTCTCACGGAGATGCGTGATCCAAAGAGCTCCGTTAGTGTGAAGAGACCAGCGACTAGTTGTTAGCGTTCATTTCAATATAGCTTCTCCTTCATCGTCAGAGTCTATTGATATGAAAAATTGTAAGGAATTTCCATGATTTCTACACTTGGAAGAAGTACCGTATAATAGTCATGCTAGCTGGTTTAATTCAATTCTTTAGAGATCTGGGGCCTAGCACGAAGGTGTGTCAATAGGTATGAAGCCCCCGAGGTTTATCTGATGCCAAGAATTGGCTTGTGGCTTCCCAGCACAAACACTGGTTGGTGATGGCCGAGACGCCCATTAACGCCACCATTCTTGGCACAGTCTCAAGTAAGGAAGGGAAGCTTTGCCATTTCTCGGGAGCTTCTATCATCATAAACCATTTGGCATGGATACAATCAAGTTTCCTGCTTCACTTGACGCGGCGAAGATACCGCTGCCGGAACAATTGAGACTCGACAGCGTAATCATGCCGTGCACAGTTGGAGCTAGCTTTTGCTGGCTTGAACAGGTAAAGAGGTGATCACGCCATCGAGAACGATTGTAACTTAGGAAATGGTATAATGTTGCTACCACCCACAATGGAGCACAACAGCTCTTCCTTTCTGTATCTAGTGAGCTTCAGACATTAGCCATATCAACACCTACTACTACTCCCCTATCTGTATAACAAACAATGTCGTTCTCCGTCCAGAAAGCGCCGAGTCCTGTAGAAGCTCCATTAGATGCCTCTGTGGCGGTTGACAAGAAATCAACCTTGGAGATACAGCCAGCCGCTACCAATACTTCTCCAGTCCGGCAGAAATTGTATCAGTGGTTCTCGCCTACCGACACACCAGAAGAACGGCGATTAATCATGAAACTTGATGGCTTGATTCTCGTATTTGTCTTCCTCGCCTACTGGGCCAAGGTTTTGGATTCTTCGGCCACGAGCACAGCATACGTCAGTGGCATGAAGGAGGATTTGAGTTTGTATGGGAATCAGCTGAATTACCTGAACACTGTATACATGTGAGACCTTCTTCTCTGTCCCTCTGGTATTTCACTTGTTGTCAGTACTGACGTGAATATAGGGTCGGCTTTATCACAATGCAGATTCCATTAACACTAGTAGTACGTTACTACTAGCTCCTGGGTCGATGAAGCAACAAGAGTACAAATCTGACATAAATTGTCACAGATGACTCGCCTCCCTATCAATTATTTCCTGCCCACCGCTGATTTACTCTGGGGTGTCTTCACACTTGCCCAATATAAGGTCAGCAATGTGTACCAACTTTACGCACTACGATTTTTCGTCGGAGCCCTTGGTGGCTTTTTTTTCCGGCGGTACAATGGTACCTAGGTAGTTGGTATAAACGCTCGGAGTTAAGTCGTCGTGGCGCAATTTTCTTCATTGCGAGTCAGGTGGGCGGTATGAGTTCTGGTTACATTCAGGCTGGTGCGTATGCAACCTTGAATGGCAAGCATGGCATTGAGGGCTGGCGATGGCTGTATATTATCTGTATGAGCTTCCCTGAGACTGAAGCCAGGCAGACTGACTGATCCATTCAGGTTTCGCGTGCACCGTTCCCATCGCCCTCTTCGGTCTTCTCGTCCTTCCTAGCACCCCGGACCGGTGCAACTCGAAGATTCTCACGGCAAGAGAAATCCAACTTGCCCAAGATCGAATGGCGGTCGAGCATCGTGAACCTCGGAAAGCTATCACGCTGCTTAAGTTCAAGAAGACTTTGAGTGGTTGGCATTTCTGGATTCTGGTTGGGTTTGCCTTCTTCTTCTCCCAGGCCGATGGCGTCTCATCTAACAGTGGTCTGCCATTGTGGCTCAAGGCCGAGGGATACTCGGTTGAATCTATTAACACAATCACGACGGTCTCACCTGCTGTTACCATCGTCGCTTCCTTGATCTGTGGGATCCTTTCTGATGCCTACGATGCGAAAGTATGGCTAATCGCCATCACCGCCCTATTGAATATCTTCGCCTGTATCGTGCTTGCAGTCTGGAAGGTTCCTCTCGGTTTGAAATTTTCAGCTTTCTTCTTGTCTGGAAGTGCGGACGGTATTGCCGCCATCATCTATGCATGGGCCAACGAGATTTGTTCCCACGACGCCGAGGAGCGCGCTCTCGTGATCAGCTCCATGAACACCATTGGTAACACTTTCGGAGCATGGCTACCGCTGTTGTAAGCTTTGTTTCCCATGCACAAACTGCTCAGGATTGTACTAATGATTTGTGTCTCTTGCAGTGTCTGGAAGACTGTTGATGCCCCCAGATATCTGATTGGGTATAACTGGACCATCGCCCTTGATGTCTTTATGCTCATCATGCTTTTCGTTTTGAGACACTTTTGGGCTAGAGAAAAAAGAGCAGGACTTTTGATGTAAACTGAGGTCCTCTGGATTGTCTGGGAAGGAAACTATGGAGAACTGGTCAGAAGGAGGGATGAAGCTTTCTCACCACTCAATAAAAGGCCATAAACATTCTGATGATACTAAACACAGTGCCTCGAACTAGTGGATGCAACATGCCCCTAAACAGTGTCGAAAGTCACCAGATAGAGAAGATTACGTCAACTGTTAACATACTGCATGTGTCCCTGGAAAGCTGTAGTTAAAAAGACAAAGTTCAATAGGCACTCAAACAACGCCGTCTAAAGCAAATTTAACTGATCAAAGCTCATATCTCAATTTTTGAGAATGTCGCATGACGGGCTTTGTAGTCCTGATGAGATGACAGCCTACTGATGAAGGTGCATACTCACCCAGATTGTACTCCTCCCTGCCCCCCCGCGTTCTCTATCAGCGCATCCGAACCATTACATAGAGCATACTCGTTCACTAGAGTTTAGCTGAAAAGACCGTCATCTGGAATTGTTCCCTCGGGGATCGATTACTGGAATAGAGTATACCCTATCGGTTACGGAACAAAAAGTGCTTGGGGACTGCCGGCCAAAACAGAGGGGCCAGGATCACCTCAGGAGACGAAACAATCCAAGCATCCGACTTTTTGAAAGGGAATGAGACAGCGCTCTGTCCCGGTATAAAACTACACCTTCTTCCCTTTTGGCTAGCCATTCGCGCCTTGCAAACATCTACCGAAAGTGAGATCGAATACTTGTCATTGATGTACCTTCTGATCCCTTTGCCAGTGGCCGACATGTTGCAAATCCATGTACATCGCCATTCTCTATCCGGCGGAAGGAAAGGTCGACAGAGCAAGTTGTGTCGGTACTCTGATGCGTGGGCCAGTTCCTTCCTCAGTTAAGGGAGCTTCAGAGTGAGCAATGCGACCAAAGTTCACAAAAAGAGGACCACGCTCTCCGTTTTCCTGCCCACAGAGCAAATTCAGACAGATATTACGGAGTTTTTGGTTGTTCGAAACGTAAATTTCTTATACAACGCTTTCCTGTCCAAAAGGGGATGATTTTGCTCACACCTCCACCTCTCTTGTGTCACAGTTCAGCACATCAGCGTGTTCGACTGCCAGGGGTAAGCAAAAGCTCACACCTGTAGCGGAACTTCGTACGAAAAGCTTTGGTTTCCTCAGGCAAGGCTGATCTGCTTATTCCGCGCGAGTTCCCACTTCCACAACCACCGTACGGCCATGGCGACTACGATCAAGCCTGCAGACAGGCATGCCGACGTCACGAAGCCACGGTGGTACTGTGGCGCATCGACCTGCTGCCACACGACCAGCGGCAGCCAGGCCTGAAACACGTAGGCTATCTCGTTCATGGATCCCGTGACGATGGCTCGCTCCTCGTTATCTTCGGAACAGATCTCGTGAGCCCACGCCATGCATAGGCCGCTCAGCCCCCCGCCGCATCCGGCCAGGATATAACACGCCCAATGCCACCCCGTGGGAATGTCCCACACCGCCAGGCTAGCGTAGCAGACGATATTCACCGCTGCACCGAAAAGGATGGGCGGCCACCGTGCGCCACGCAAAATCGTGTCCGAGGTCCACGCGTACACGAGCGTGCTGACGATCTGCACCGCGTACGTCGTCGTGGGGTATACGTTGATCTGCGAGATGGTGTATTTGGGGCTCTTTGAGTCCTTGAGGTACTGCGCGAACGTGGGCTGGGAGACTCCTGCGCCCGCGTTGTTGAACAGCATGTACAAGGGCACCAGAAAGTAAATGTGCCAGGAGGTGAAGATCTTCTTGAACTTGGCTTTGGTGTAAGGGGCGCGGTCGGCACGGCCTTCGAGCTTCATGCGTTTCTTGGCGAACTCGCGCTCGTGAGGCTTGAAGTACCATGCCTTTGTGATCTCAGGCACATCAGGGAGCAGAAAGTAGCCGGACAGTGCGACAGGCAGGGAAATTACACCGTCGATGACGAAAAGCCACTGCCATCTGTAGTGAGTTAGTCACATGTGCAGCTAGCGTAGAGGAACATGGTAGCGGCCCGACGTACCCTTTGAGACCACCTTTTCCGCCTAGATGGTATACAGCTGCCATCAAGTAGCCAGAGAACATACTGCCTATCGCAGAGCTGGTGTGGAAAATACAGGAGCGTTTGGCAAGTTCGTCTCGTCTGTACCAACTGCGGGATTCATTGTCAGTCTGTCACTGCTCACAAAATATGCTTCTGAGGGGAGTCTCACGATCCAATCACGTAGACCATGCCTGGATAGAAAGTGGACTCTGCAAGACCGACGAGGAAGCGGATGGCGTAGATCGAACTCGCGCTGTTACATTTGGAGGTGCAGAATGTGAGAATGGTCCAGATGAGTTCCATCGTTGGGATCCATATGCTTGGACGGACGCGTGTGAGGACCATGTTCGCTGTTCAAGCCACGTTAGCCTTACTATGCAAAAGACCAAATGTCTCGGCAGCTTGGCTGGTAAGGCTGCGACGAGAAGGGGGCGGTGACAAGAACGTACAAGGTATCTCTCCCAGGACGTATCCGACGGTCCAGCATGTTTGCATATAGTTTAGCTGGTTCTTATACAGGCCCAAATCCTCCTTCATTCCACTCACGAATGCATTGTTGATGTTTATCTGGTCGAGGTACTTGATGAAATATCCCAGAGATGCAAACGTGAGGACGGCGGCGTCAAGCTTGAACAAGAACCGCCGCTCTTCCGGAGACTTGTCGAGACTGTCCCAAATATACGACCTCCATGTCAGACTTGGCTTTGCTTGGATGGCATCGTCGGAGCTTGAGGTAGGGTTATGAAGTGGTGATCGGGAATGGTCGCTGTCGTCGACGCTGGCCGTTGGGTTTTTGAGCTCGACCTCTTTACTGTCGCCATGAAACGCCATTATGATGTTCTTTCCTTGCTTCCCGGTGCCTCGTGCAACCTAGAGTTTGGATTCTCCCAAGCTCTTTTAAATCCGGATCTGTTCTGCCGGGCTGGCGTAGGTTGAGGTACTACCTTCCGATCAGGGTATCATGGTAGTGGAGATGTCAACTGCGACAGATGTTGATCACTGCAATGGCGTCTTCCACGCATAGATGGCGTGCTGTCTCTGATGTACAGAAGCATTTCGGCACATGCAGCAATATGTTCGAGATGCCGACCATGTCCAAGCAAGAATAAGCATTGCGGCACAAGGTGATAAGCATAACTTGTGTCACCCCACGAACTCCAATGGAGTGACGACCACTGAGAAGCGAACAATCACCACTCTCTCAGTTGAGATCTCTAGGGTGGGGGATGTCAGGGGTCTGTGTCGACAGTTGAGCAACAAATACAAACATCAAAGCACGCAATTCGGTCACGTGCTGCTGTTTCGACAACATTCGTCCCTTCTCCTCCCATATGTGTCTTTCAGGCAGAGGACATTCCTCAAGTGATTGGAACGATAAGGGTTTCCTAGATGCAAGTTCACTCGTATCGTGATCCGTTTCGCCATAGAGAGGGTCAATGCGTGACTTTGCTAGAGACAGTTAGAAACCAACCCGTGACACTTAGATCTCACCATATCACCTTGCAGGCCAGCAAACGAGCGGGGTTGGTAAGCAGGTTCCTTGTATATGGGAAATATCCTCGGCACCATCGTTCATAAGGAGCTCGTCGCGAAGGTTATAAGACCTGAGAAAGGAACGTTGTTTTGCTCCCTATTTTAGTTGGCGGAACGGCTTCTGTCTTGTGAGAAATAAGAACAGCAAAATGGCACCAGCACTGATCGAAGAAAACATTAAGGACTTTGTCGTCCCTAAGAAAGACACCTTGGGACTCCCCGAGCCAGCGCTGAAAAGGTTAACCAAGGCAGGCATTGATTTGTTAAACGGGTACCCATACCGCCCCAATCGACCTTTGTATCTTCAGGATGTGTACAATATTAGAAATAAAGAACGAAAACATGACGATGCAGGTGCCAGAGCGGAAAGATCGAAACACGCACTGTTGTCTGCTGCCACAAAGGTCACCGACTTAACCACCCACATTGGTACGGAGATCGAGGGCCTCCAGCTCAAAGATCTTACAGATCAACAAAAGGATGAGCTCGCCTTGTTGATCGCTGAGCGAAGTGTCGTTTTCTTTCGTGATCAGGACCTCTCTCCTCAGCAACAGAAAGAGCTCGGAGAGTACTATGGCGAGGTCGAGATTCATGTAAACCAACCCCTCCTCGATCTCGTTGAAAGTGGTTCATTATGCTGAGTCGACCATAGCCGCAAGTTCCGCAAGTCCCTGGAGTGTCTGGAGTGACTGTCATCTGGCCAGCTCTCCAAGCCACCGAGGTTACTGCGAGCTTTCGCAAACCAGGTGGTGCATCCCGCTGGCATACCGATCTTGTGCATGAACGCCAGCCTGCAGGTACGTTCTTCCACCCTCTTATGGCCAGCCTAGCTGGAATGTTGTGTTCCGCTGGTCTGAGTCTGCCGTAGGTATAACTCACCTCCACAACGATACTGTGCCACCGATTGGAGGAGACACTCTCTGGGCCAGTGGATACTCGGCATACGAGAAGCTATCACCCGATTTCCGCAAAATGATTGATGGCAAGCAGGCTGTTTATAGATCTGCTCACCCATATCTCGATAAGGAGAATCCAAATGCGGGTCCTCAGTATATTGAGCGGACTCATCCATTGGTTCGAGTACACCCGGCTACCGGGTGGAAAGCCCTGTGGGTTAATAGAGCAATGACTAGTCGAATAGTCGGGCTCGATAAGGCTGAGAATGATCTCATCTTGGGATATTTGTTTGACGTTTATGAACAGAACGTGGATATCCAAGTGAGATTCAAATGGACTCCGGGAACGAGTGCATTGTGGGATAGTAGGTAAAAGAAATGATGTCGTTTTTCTGGTGCTTTGAAGCTGACTAAAGTAGAATCACCATACATAATGCCTCTTGGGACTATGGTGGGCACTATCCTCGACATGGTACACGAGTCACTTCGTTGGCCGAAGTCCCCTATTTCGACCCTAACGCCCCTACGCGTCGTGAAGCACTAGGTCTGCTGGACCCAGACGAGAAGAAGGTGGATGGCATCTTGTTGGAGACTTGAGGGTTTTGAACTGATATCACACAGGGGGGACCAGCGTAAAGAATAGAGGCTCCTCAGAGCGCGTCGCGCCTTGACACAGATCTGGGGTGATGCCAAGTATATGAAGTTGAAAACAACAACCCCATGTCCAGCAAGGTCAGCGCAACATCACGTGATCATCATCCATTGTGGTTGTAGCACCGGGCGATAGGTATTTCGGCCAGACACCCTTGCATTTCGGCCATATACCTAGGTAATTAGGCAAGTCCTCCGAGTACTCTGCAATACACCTATCTGGCCTATTCTCTATGATGCCTATGATGCAGGACCCTATTCTCTGTGATGCCGACGGAAAACGACTTACTAGTTATTTATATGGGGACGAGTTTCTCATTGCATGGCTTGTTGCATCTCACAGGGCCAATTGCCGCGATAAAAATGACGAATTCACGTTGCTATTTGGCAGGTTCTAGTTGCCATTGAGACGTTCCTGGGATGACAGGTCTAGTCGTCGTTCCTCGACGACCTCCGCGGCCTCCGCGGCCTCTAGTCGTCGTCGTCGAGGTTGTCGGCGTCTCGGTCCTCATCAAACTCACCGTTCTCGTGGTTGTCTGTTCAATTACTCTCTCCCACTCACTCGGCATTCGTCGGGCGCCATTTGGCTCATGAGGATGGCGCGGAGCTAGATTTAAGTGCACTACCGAAGAGCAGAGTGAACACCAGAAATAAGGAACCTCTATACGCTAGACTAAAAAGCGTTCGCTTATGATTTAATGGATTATTTCAAAGACACTTCTTTCGCAGTTGAACTATTCTCCTTACTCCCACGTTCCCAATAGGTCATCATAAACTCATCACGAGCAGCTATCCATTCTGCTGAATAGCCATCAGCCTTCTTTGTCGACGGATCACGACCCAAATTCACCCATTCCATGAGCTCTTTGGCGTACTGTATATCCTGCCCAACCAAAGTGTGGAATGGTTTTCCGTACCCTTTCTCTTTAATCCTTTCCTGGTACTCCGCTATCATCTCATCCTTGGCTGGCGTTCTAGCTTGGCCAGAGAATACCGCGGCAATGATAATAGCTTGAAACTCGAAAAGGGAGAATGTTGCGGTATAAAAAGGAACACCTGTAAACGCCAGGGTTGGATCTGGGATATAAAAGATGTCCTTGTGGAGATTATGTAGCATGGTGCCGTCAGTTACCAGAATCTTGCCATCTGCCTCTTCTCGTGGCACGTCGTCACGATGAAATTTTGGCGGGAAGAATGGCAGGGTAAAGTGATAGCCCGTAGCGACAATCACGCGGTCGATGCCTTCAAGCACCTGGCCATCGACCAGGGTGACTTTGCCGTCAATTGCTCCAGTGCTCTCCGAGGTACCGTTTTTAAGCTCACCAAACGAGGCGATTCCAGGCACTCGCACACCATTAGGGGGTAGCCAGGACTCTGGTGTGTCCATGAAACCACCCCTGGTTGACTGGTAAACTTTCTTGGCCACAGGTCCAACTTCTTTGGCAATATCGATCGAAGAGGCGCTCCCGCCAATCAGAAGAATGGTCTAGGAAATCATTAACTTGGGCGAATGCTTCTCTCTAGGTCAAGTCACCTGGTTCTCAAATCCTTTGGGGTTGCGATAACTCTTGGAATGCTGGATCCTTGATGGCCACGCTTTTTTCCATTCTGCCAAACCAGGGATGGCTGGAACCCTCGGGGCATGATAGTCTGGTTTGGCTTTAGCAATAATGATCTAAAAAAATACCTCTGAATGCTTTGAAATCCGGAATTCAGAGGTCATGACCACTCACGTCCAGAAGCAACGACAACGAAATCGAGATCCTGGAGACAGGGCCAGGTTAACCAGCCAAGAATGAAGAGACGGTGCGCGAAACCCACCCAAACGTTCTCTGTCGCCTTGCCAGTGGTCTTATCCCACGTGGCAGTTTCAAGCCTCCAAGTATCGCCTGCTTTCGATACGTTTCTCACTGCAGTATTGTACAGTGTGTCTTCATGAACACCGGTCTTTACTGCCGTATCTTGGATGTAACTAGCCAGGACATTGTGCCTGACAAAAGCTGGAGTGTCAGCTGGCCAGCTGTTGATGCTCAACTCTAGAAACTGGGTCGCAACGTTGTTTGTCAACGTCTCATAGGCAGGTCTGTATCTCCGTTCAGCGTTAGGTCCCTGCACCAACAAACTTCACTACCCTGGAGGCGCGTGCAAAAGATAAGGATCCGCGTTTTCTACACTGTTGTAAAAGACGGAATCCGCTAGTGATGGTTTGACTGATGGGAACGTTGGTTCATGGGGCATTCGAGAATCCAAGATCCTGATAAACGAGATTAACAGCCTCTCAAGCGACAGGACGAGATGTACTGACCAGACCCCTCCAGCCACAGGAGCCCTTTCGAAAACCGTGACATTGAGCCCTTCGGCTTTGAGATGAGCCGCCGTTGTCACTCCAGAAACCCCGGCCCCGATTACGGCTACACGTCGAACGCGCTCAATCATGGTGTTGGCAGGGGATGGTTATGTGTTACGAACAATAATTCAAAGCCTCGCATGACAAAACAGCGGCTTAGACATGGAGTCATGTCGTCTTGGATTGCGCGAATATCTATAAGTGAATGTCGGCACTCTGATCTTGCGAAAGAAACAAGTACTTCATGTGGAAGCCACATGGTTAGCGAGCTTCATGGGATGGCCTTCCGATTGCAGCCAATTGAGTGTTGTCTAGATGGAGGATTGATTCGCCAATAGTCAGGCTTGGCTCTCACGCCTTGCCTGGGACCGATGGTGCAATTCTGATCGGGCAATTCCTTATCACGAGCCATATTCGGCCGAGAACCTACCAGTTGAACAACAGTAACTACTACTTTATTGATACTCGAAGTTCATGGAAGAGTCGTTCCCAAAAGTCCCCTATTGTCGCAATGGAGACGTTAGTCCGCAGTCGTCGGAAGCGGCTGAGAAGTTCACTCATGCGGTCAACTCGGTTACTGGAGTTGCAGCCTCGAGGAACAAGTGGGCGACTGTCAATGGTATCAACAGATATTAGTGACGGCTTGCAGAAAGGTGCTACAGTATGTGATGACCCATACTGGCCTCTTCTACTTATGCCAGGGGGAAGGCAAGCGCTTACTGAGTGCAGGCTTGCAAGACGTGCCGCTTGAAGAAGGTCAAATGTACGAAAGGAAGACCCAGGTGTGCTTACTGTAGCCGCCACGGCTTCAAGTGTGACTATCCACGACAACAACCGCCGAAGTACGAATTTCATTCTGCCATCTAACTGTGTGTGCATCACTGATCAGGGGCAGTGACACACAACGTTCGGGGTATATACAACCGCATCTCACTCAAACTGAAAGATGGCCGGATCAGTTGACTTCCTCCTCCAGCGCATCAGATGGTCAAACTGCTCGGCATACTGGTCAGGGCAGCAACCTCGGGGAGGTAGTATCGTGGAATCCTTGTCCTTCCACTCTAAATTCTTATGCGAATGACTGGCGCGACAAAACAGAGGCAAGCGTCCCGCTGACTGACCTCTGGCATTGCTCATCACATCGTATCGACGATAGCATTGAGTTGCCTCTGACAGACGGTGATACACAATTGCAGTATCTGGGGAAGATGCCAATGTCTTGCGAGGAGTACCGCAAACCCTTTCCCAACGTCATGACCTCCTACAGGCCAAGCGATGTGCGCGATATACCCCTAGCTAGGCAAAGATTCTTCTCCAATGTTGCTACTTTGTACCCTGTCATATGTGAAAACACTCTGCGCATCGCTGCAGACGCGGTCGAGGCAGAGGGATTCCAAGACAACATGCGCTCATGCCTTTTGCTCCTTGTGATTGCTACGATCAAGGCTTTCATGTACGTAGGGTTCACGGAAAGTGGCCTCGCAGATTTTCAGCGCGCAATGCAGGTACGCAGCCGGATCAGTGCCCAGCTAAGTCTGCAATATGTCCATGTACTGGTATTCTCTGCCATCTTTTTGCTGCAGAAGAGTCGCCTACTTGACTTCGCCACTGCGCTTCATAGTGCTTGTACTATGCTCCAGAGTGTCATCAAACGGTGAGGATCCTCGACTGTCACATACATGTTTCACCGTCGAGCTGACGTCGAGATAGGGACCAGATCACAGAAATCCAGCGGCCAAGGAATGAAAGGAACAACTTAAGGTTGTTATTCTGGATCTGTCACAACCTTGAACGGTTAAGACTCCATATGCTCTCAGGTCCAAGGCCTCCCGTTGACTGAGAATAGAGATCTGATGTACGAGATCGACAATACCCTTCCACGGAGTACATTGGCTCTGTTTGAGGAGTTCTTTCCGCTACCTTTACCTTGCGACGAAGCCAACAACAAGGACAGGCCGCCACACATAAACACCCAGTTTGTCTTCTTCTTGGCTGAAATGTCATTGCGTGCTATATTGGAGAGCATTTTGACAACCGACAAGCTGGAAGGTTTTATGAGACACAGCGCTGACCCGGCTCAAAAGGCATGTAGCATGACATTCTCCGTCTCTCCCATAACACAGGAGTTACGGTCGCAACTTGATGCCTGGATACTTCGCCTTCCGGCAAGTCTAAGCTGGTCAGTCGAGCCAGGCGGTGGCGTGCTGTCCGCGCAGAGCACACGCCTGAAGCTCTTATATTGGTATGCCCGGTTTTCGCTCCACCGCCCAATGATGCAGCATACACTCGACGACGAACTATTACAGCTACCTCTTCTACTCTGGGAGCCCTTTCGGGAAGGAGTTCTTCCTGCGCTCAACTTGATAAAAGTATTCATTGCCGAGAAGCCCCACATCGACATATTCATGGCCGCTAGGTATGCAGATCACATAAAAGGCACCGTTGTCGACAGTCTAGAGACACTAGTTGACGATTTATAGGATAATATCTGCAATAGAGGTGTTGCAAAAGACACGAATGACAACTGAATTCTCCACGTTTAACGGGGAGAAGGTGGATGAAATCCTGCAAGAGGGCAAAAAGGCGGTCTCGGCACAATTCAATGATTCTTCGGAGTGGGTGGTTTGTAGATTGTACAACATACAAAAATGCTAGATTCCAACTATAGGTGGAACACTGAGATTGTAGAGAGCTATCCGGCCGTCTTCTGCTGAAAGTATACTACTAAAAATTGAGGTTTAAGGGCCCATAAACAGCCAAAAGCTCAATTAGTTGAGGTAATTTGTGCGAGTCCAACAGCGGAAGAAGTATAAATCTCTACAAGACAGAAGCTTTGGCCACATCTAGATGCCTTCATCCTTGGAAACTACAAAGTGCGCACCTATGTCAAGGGAATTGACGAGAGTAGGAAAGTTAAACATAGTAGTATGAGGTGGACCCCTTCTATCAAAGACTGTTGTTGTGTTGTCTTGTGCCCCGAAGCCTTCATCAGCGGAGTACTATAAAACGGATTGTCCGATTGCGTGAAGCATGGAAGTGCCCAAGCAGGTTTTATAAAAAGGGCATGCCGGTGGTGCCCAATTACGATGAGGCCGCAACCATTAAATCCAGTTCCCTCAATCTAGCCCATAAGCGCCGAAGTCGAGAGAGTTGAGCCTTGGAAGTTGCGGCAATGATACGGACTATTTGGGAACCACCACATCTTCAGACACATCTGAATTGCTTGCCAGGCTAGGGCCAAGTCTATCTTTGAGTTTCGTTTTTCCTGTCCAACATGTCAGCAACCAAGATTGCTTGCAGGGGTTCCGATATCTTTACAGTCTGTTATCCCTGTTTGCCAGGTGCCTGATAAGGAAAATAACTCCTGTGACTACGGCGGTGAATGCAATCGCCGTGGGGAAGCCTTTCTTGTACTCTGGGGCGTCGGTAACTTTCCAAATAAGGAGTGGAAGCCATGCACCCTGCACGTATTGTATAGTGTTGACCACGGCGATGATGAGGGCCCGCTCTTCCGTATCATCAGAGCACACCTCGTTTACCCAGCTATAGAGCCATTAGTACACAATCTTGACCCCTTTACCGGCCTGCAATGTATACACTTACATCAGGTTCAGTGGTACCAATGCAATACCCTGTTGCATGACAATATAACAAAACCAGAGCCACCCTTTGGGGATGTTCCACACGAGCAGTGAAATCCAGATTACCTGCTGGAAAACCTGTGGTCGATTTTGTTAGGTCGACATCGACAATCATCAGGAGGACATACTGCTGCGAAGACCATGACTGGCCATCTTCGCCCATTCAGGGGGCCATCAGAGACCCACGAGTACAATAGCTCAGCAACAACCATCACTGCAGCTGTGGTCGTGGGATAAGTGTTGATCTGGCTGATCGTGTATTTTGGGTGCTTCGATGCCTTCAAGTAAAACGAGAACATTGGCTGGCCAATGCCCCCTGCGCCTCCCCCAAAGCTGTCATAAATGTCATTCAGTCTCCGGTTCTGTCTAGGTTGCCAATGAACTCACACAGTCATGAGAGGAAAAACCCAAATGTGCCATCGTGAAAAGATCTTGAGGAGCTTTTTTTCGAGAAGCCTTGTTTACTCGCACGGCCAATTCTTTGAACCCGTTCCAATGCAATTTCTCTATCCTGAGAAGAACTTAGCACTGAAATCACAGGCGTCATCATCTGGTGATGGAAGCTTACCCTTGCGTTCAGATACCAGGCGCGGGTGTTATGGGGTTGGTCAGGTAAGAAGAAAATTGTTAAGATGGCAATTGGCAGGGAAATAACGCCATCAATGATAAACAGCCTGACAAGTGTGATTAGCGGAGACCTCTTGCAAGCCAGATCAGTCTGGACAATGTCTGGGAAAGGTCACCATTGCCAGCCTGCATAACCGTGTCTTCCTCCTAGGCTAATCACCGCAGCCATGAGGTAACCCGAAAACATTGTAGCAATTGAACCAGAAACGTGAAATATGATGGAGCGTTTGGCAAGTTCATCTCTCCCATACCAAGAACCAAGCATGTAGAGAATGCCAGGGAAACTGACGGTCTGTTAGCTGTGGCATTGTGACTCGATATGGCGGTAGTCGAAACAACAACCGACACGACGAGGGTAGATGTTGGAGGATAAACTTACAATCCCGCCTCAGCTAAACCTACCAGGAAGCGCAACGCATACAGTTGATGGACAGTAGTGACTCGACAGGTACATAGCGTCAAGATTGACCATATCAGCTCCAGGGCAGGAATCCAGATCGATGGCCGAATCTTGGTAAGGATGAGGTTGCTAGGTATTTCGCCAATGATATAGCCGATGGTCCAAAGTGTGACGGCGTAGTTATACTGATTGCCCAGCATATTCAAGTCTTCTTTCCTACTCGAAGTCAACCGTTGTTTGCCTCCCTATCGCACGACGACCTTACATTCCAGATACATAGGCATTATTGATATTTGCCTGATCAAGGAATCTGATAAAGTACCCTGATGCGACAAGTCAGCAGGCTAACGGAGAGGCATAGCCCAGGGTTCTTTTGTCGCCAGCTACCACATACCCAGGCAAGTGAAGGTAAGAATTCCAGCGTCGAGTTTGAACAGAAACTTCCGCTCCTCGGCCGGCTTATCGAATGTGTCCCATACATAGCTCTTCCATGATCTCTGCTGCGTGACCAAATCACTGGCGGCGAGTCCTTGGCCAACAACGACCGCTTCAGCCTCCTTCAACATCTTGAGAATTAAGATAGAACGATGTATAGTAGATAAGCTAGCTTTTCATATCGTGCAGACCAAGGAAAAGGATCTTAGAGCTAGATTCAGGAAACATAGCGATTGAAGTGGCACAAGACATCCTATATACCATTCTCACCTGAGATAAAGCCCCATAGTGAGAAATTGTGCAATAACAAGCTACTCAAACGCAATATGATGGTTGTTATCAGCCTGTCCTTTGCGGCGAAACCAACAAATACCGGAAGCCCGAAATCTGCATCATCATCTGTTCGGCTACAATAGAGAAATTGCCGCCCAAAAGACCATCCAACCCGCCCGCCCCCCCTTCCTCTCCCACACGCCGTAGGCCTCCTACCTTAATTGCCGGATTGTCTTCTGGCCAATGGATACGGACCATCAGGATACTCATTTATAAGCTGCCATCGGTTTCTTGCAGTATGTAGCGTTAGTGGTAGGAGGGCTTAGTTGAGCATGGCATGCAAAAGACCCATCATGAGATATGAAGGCATGGACCGACAGATAAGCGGCCGTGCTGGCGTGCTAGATCCAATCATTCCTCGGAGCAGTCCGTGTGCAGCCAATCAGTGAGTTGGAAAAGTTACCAAGTATAAGCTTCTCCCGCAAGGCGTGCTTGATGGCGTGCTTTAGTGGCAGCATGTAAGATAGCATCCCGACAATTCCAGCCCACCTCACGATGTTTGTGTCTGGGCAGTTCAATCTATAAGTCCTAGGCCGCTGAACAGTAGAAGTGACAGAGCATCCTCTGTGACCTTCACGCACAATAACAGCCATGGGCTCATATCAAGCAACGATCAATGTCGCCATCATCGGAGGAGGTCCGGCCGGCTTGGCGGCAGCAATTTCACTGTCGAAGCTGCCGTTTCTCTCGACTGTCCTCTATGAGCGGAATTCTGAGCCTCAAGAAGTTGGAGCAGGCATCAGCCTAAGTTATAATGCCTGGAAGGTTCTGGATCTGCTAGGGGCCGCCGACGGAGTCAAAGGCTTCTCGAAAGCTGATACACGTCAGAGGTAGGGACACAAACAAAGGTTCGATATTGTATTCACATGTCTCATTTAGGAATGGTTACACCGGTGAAGTCATTTTGCTGCAACCACATCCAGAGAACGGTGATTTAGATCCTCGTGGGGCCATCAGAGCTCGCAGAACTCGGCTTCAATCTGGTCTTTTGGAGAAGGTTCCGGATGGAGTGATAAAGTACGGGAAGAAACTGGTGTCGGCGCAGAACGCTGGCTCAGAAGGCGTGCGCCTGTCGTTCGAGGACGGGACGGAGGCACTTGCAGACTTGGTGATTGGAGCCGATGGCATTCGTTCCGTCCGTTCAAGCCACCAACCTACCAAATGCACTCACTGACAACAGAGGGAACAGGTGATCCGAAAAACACTCTATCCAGATCACACGATCCATTTCACCGGTCAGCCACCATTTCCATGTATAGCGATTCCACTGACTGTAACTTGGGGATAGGAAACACGGTCTGGCGGACCCTTGTCCCGAGATCATCTCTCTCACACATACCTGACGTCACCAATGGGACATCATGGTGGTATGTCAAGGGTGGACATGCCTATTTGTCAGGAGTCGACGATTCTTCCGAAATTCCTCTCGAGAAACAGCTATTCGAACTCTCTGTGAGATCCTACCACGAGCCTGATATCCCAGGCCGGACGGTATCGTGGGGGATCCCCGCAACAAACGAAAGAGTGCAGGCTCGCTTTGTGGTTCGTCGTATACGTCAAGAACCATGGCAACGGCCTTACTAACAGACCTTTTGACAGAAATACGACCAAAGGGTTCGAGATGCAATTGCAGCTGTCCCGGAAGGAGCGTGGAAGGAGTTTGCCAATTACGCAGGTCCTGGCCCGGAAGAGATTACTGGGTGGAACAAGGTGGTTTTAATAGGGGACGCTAGTCACCCGCTCCATGGTACCCCCCTAGTCCTCTTGATACAACTGAAGATGCCAATACTCTATATTTAGGTGCATTTGGGTCTGGAGCCACGTTCGGCATGGAAGATGGGTGGCTTCTGGCGCAGGCGCTCGAGCACGAATATTCGCTCGGATCGGAAACGCTGGTCGAGGATACGCTTCAGGCCTTCGAAGAAATCCGCCTTCCTTATTATAAGAGAATGTATGTCCAGACCGGGCGCACGTAGCAAAAGCCAACAACACGACGCTTACTGACAATATGCTATGTACAGGTACAGGTATCTTGACGCCCAAAGCGCGAGTGCTAAAAAAGCCGAGGAAGAAGAGAAGACTTTCGAGGAACTTCTTGAGCTCAGATTCAAGTCGTTTGGTATCGGGCAGAAAGACAACCTGAACTGGATCTATAAGCATGATATCGGAAAAGTCTGGTCTGACTACTTGAAGGGTATCAAGGAATTCCATGGCTAGAGATCATAGTTAAGACTTCAAGACACAAGGGTAACCTCGAAAGAGACCCATCTTGGAGAAAAGCCGACCCAGCGACCGTAGATATCATGGATCATTCGAGACACTTGTCGTTGGTAGAACACCACTGAGATAACGCCACGACCAAACTAAATTAAGAAGTACAAGTATTGGTCCTGGCTCTCTCGTGTCGTTTGGCCTCTACTGTGACAACTTCGCGCTTAGAACTACGAATGACCAGTGCATCTACCTGGCGAGGGTGAGGTAGGGAGGCGCCGCTCACCCCCTCGATGCGGAGGGCTCGTTACACTAAGTCAAATGGCTCTCTCACTTGTATCGGTAACTCCTTGCCACATGCCTTGACCGGACAGTGACCATCGATAGGTTCCTCGTTCGGACGATAAGTACGAACCTCTTCCTCGTTCGCTAATACGACCAGAACATCGATATCCCTAACCTATTCGAAGAGGAGTAGCCAATCTCGCCATTCATCACTTGTGCAATAATTCTCTGTCTCGGCTTACTTCTCAATTCTTGATCAAATCGAGACGTTGAGAAGTCGGGATTTTCAAGATCGGTGGAGTTTGTGAAGGCTGACTCGGGACGAAACTTCTGAACCCACTCTTTGATAAATTCTCAGGTGGTTGCGTAGCAGACACCTCCTTAGGTACAACATCTGGTCGCGAATACCTTGAAAGAGATCGCCTTGGGTTTCATTGTCTTCTGCCTCGAGCTCTCGCTTTTCGAGGTTCTGATAGACGTCGTCCGCAGCTACCAATTCACTTGCAATTTCTAATGGTAGCGTGATTGGAAACCCCTTAATGCGGCTGCAAGCATAGCATCAATAAGGCGGACACGAACATGTATTGCTGAGGTGCCGAAATGGAGGGGGTGACAGAAATGTGGGCAGGCAGCAGACCAGTTTTGAATGTGAAGGGCGTTCTCGGCGATCACAACTTAGTGGTTCGGGTCGCCCACATGATGCTGCGGACGTGTCTTCTGCAGTAGTTTCAGGCGGTGCCTCCCACAGCATCGACTATTTTTGGAGAAGATGCCGCTCGAGACATCAGGGGAGGACTTCGCGATGTCGAGAATGACCGCGGAAAGTGAGCGTGGAGCACGGCATTGAGTATATTTCTTTATCGCAGTAAACAAAGACAGATGTGGGCTTTTTGTGACGTAGCCACACACGGAGCAGCACGCTTACGGGCGACCAACCTCGCTTTCGCGACCAACCTCGAAAGCGAGGGTGCAGTAGGTGGAATCGGCAGGCGAGAACCGACAACGACAGCGGAATGTTCGCAGTTCCAATGAGCGAATATAAGCGCGGGTCAAAGGGGGGAGGTGCCTTTTATATAGCACTCCTGCTGTGTGGACTCATGGCGCCAAATCTTGCGCCCTCACAGCACGCTCTCAGCCAGGCTATTATTGCAGTCAGGCGCCTCAAACCCTGGCAGATTTCCGAAAGGACACCGTATTCCGTGCACTACTCCTTCCATGCTAGAAGGCAGTTTTTGAACTTCTCGATGAGCAGCAGAATTTATATTGTATCACAAAAGGTGGTCCATAGTGCTTCGATATTGAGCGTAGCATAATCTAGGAGCTAGTCCTGAGCGGGTTCCATGAGTAATGTCGAGTGTTTACTTGGCATCCACAGATTTTTCTTACAGTGCTTAATCGGATTCCTGGTAGTAGGCTCCCCTTCGTAATGCCCGACAGCACGTGGTTTAACCCTTACAAGCTATCTTCTTTGAAATGACTAAGCTCTGGTCCTTCACAGGGAATAGTGTATGAATTTGATGATGGCTCTGTGATTAAGGTGCCATTTCAGGATCCTGTAGGCGATGGCTCTACCACCGACGAAAAGATCGATCACCCTGTGCTGTCACTGAGAAGTTTCAAATGTTTTAAGCAAGAGTGCCGGATCTATGAACTGCTGTCGAAGCATCCTCATCCAAACGTTGTAACCAGATTTCAGTGCAGCAAGCCAGACTGCATTGTCCTCGAAAGGGTTAAGCCACTTCAGAAAGCTTGGAACAACTCGACGGAACACCTTCGTGGAATATAGATTCTTGAGCTCCTCGACGTTTTGTCCTTCATAGAGGATCTCGAGTACATTCATGGAGATATAACAATATTCAACATCGGTATCGACTATGACGACAGGGTCAAAATATTTGACATTGGCTCAGCTGTGCCCAATAAAGACGAAGATTTTGAACATCAACTTCTTAGAGATCAGTCCAATCTCGCAACTTGTATCTGCTTTCTAGCATCTACGATTAACGTTTCTGCAGTGGCCAAAAGTGTTGCCAACATCAACCGTATTCGCGAAGATCTCCAGAAGGGCAAATTTCCCTTTCCAGCCGCAGCGAAAAGGCTCCATGGAGTAATCGAAGCTTGCTGGTCTCAAAAACGATTCAACTCTTTCAAGTATCTAAAAGGGACTGTTGCAGATATTTTAGAGATACAGACAGTCGGCAAGCTCGTGCCGTCGGTGGCTGCGAATTTATCGTTTGATTCGCTGTTGGTGTTGTGAATTATGCCAGTGGAAGCATATATTGATTGTTCTTATTGTTACTCTACCTCAAGAAGTAGAGGCATATATATACATCGAAGTGACATACTAGAAGCTTCCCTACAATTTCCAAGCATGCGGAATGATTCCATGAAACTTTCATGAATGTCATGATAGTTGGTTAAGCCTTATATCATAACACCTACAACAAAACTTAGAAAGTTTCGACATAGTCTTTCATGGTGCTTAACATAGTAAGTTCCTGGCGGTCCCCTGCGCGCAATAATTCCACGCGTTAAGCATTACGTTAATAGCTGCCGCTTAGATCATATTGTTCACTGCGTATTAACTTTATATGCACTAGGAGCTACAACAGAAGAGATACAAAAGGCATACGATTAAGAAGTAACCTATTAGTGATCGAGATTTCTAATTAATAAGACTATTATTAAAGCTATGGCTACGTATTAACTTTGTATGCACTAGGAGCTATGACAGAAGAGATATAAAAGGCATACAATTAAGAAGTAACCTATTAGCGACCAAGATTTCTAATTAACAAGACTATTATTAAAGCTATGGCAAACCAGATTAAATTTAATAACTTCTTAGGCTAATAGCCGCATATTCGAATTTTCTTCTCTTCTTCCAGAGCGAAATCGAGATGAGAGGAGTAAGGGAAACCCTGGAAGAACATCTGTTTATAAATACTAAGTACGCGGCCTGCATACTACCTTAACTCTTTACAAGTTAGTCTAATTACCTTCCTCTTATAACCAGCACTTACTAACCAGTTTCTCTTCATTTTCCATGAGCTCCTATATATTAGTTTCGGGTTTAAATTTAATTAACCCGCAATGATAGCTAAGGCACTTAGGATAATCTGCGTTAATGACGCCGAAAGTAGAAAGACTGAACCCATTTTTGTGCTTTCTGAGAAGCTTACAGGAGGTCTAAGATAGTCAGGTCAGAAAATACTTTGTTGCCTAATAGAAGAGGTATAAAAAGATGAGGTTTTGAACCAGTCTATTAAAGGCTTATACATTCGAGACAGGTCGAAAAACATTGCAGATAATGCAATAACATAGATGGTTAAGTACATAGCCCAATACTCTATTTCTGAGGACCAGCTGGAGAAGCGATTCGATGAAATGGTTGACACTTGTAATAAACAGCCCCATGCCCTATACATCGCGTTTTCTCCTCTCACTAACGGAGTGTCTAGGTGTACTGCTTGCCACAAAACCATCACGCATCCCATCTGGCGGGCAACATAGGATGGACTTCATTCTCCTTCATACCAGTAATACACTAGTCGTTATGCCAACTCTGATAAAACACCAATGGATATCTCCAGAAAAGGCAATCCGGTTGATGGAGTGGGCAGGTACGGAGCACGAATACGGGGTATTCATGGCACGATTAGCACTATGTGGGTTAAACCGAATTGGGAAGACGGCTTCAGTAGGTTTCAGCATGTTAGGTGTAATTTCGGCCATGAGGGTTTCGTCGAACCGCTAGTCCCTATCTGGCTTTGGCTCGGCGGCGTCTGAGTGATCCGTTTCTGGGCCGAAAACTCCGTGAGAAACTCGGGTCCAGCCTCGACCAAACACCGTCAATATTATCGATGGATCAGCTCATGACCAGCGGACGTTGACACGTCGAACAAAGGCATGAGCTGACCAGGGTGAGCTTCTGATTTTGGTGATGCTGATCTCGAACATGGTTTCCGTGATCACGACCTTCGAACGTGGTCGTCCTCTGCGCCCTACGTGTGACCTCCATGACTTTGGTTTTCGTCTCGATATCGAGTCCCAAACATGCCTCCTGCAGGACATTGGCGGACCAGACCCTAAGTTCTCTCGTTTCCCTTTTCTTCACGGGTCCGAATTCTCATTTCATGTCCTGTGGCCACGGCCATCAATGCCAACTTCAACACTGACATCAAACCCACTGTCAATATCAATCCCTCTAGAAAGTTGACAGTTATGAGACAGTATCATGGTGACGATTGACACCACGGGTTCGAGCCCACTATCTGTCTCCCAGAGATCTTCTATGTTGGTCTCGACCACGGAACTCGCAAAATTCGCATTCACACCATTCTTTTGAAAATACGGCATGTGTAAAGAGCCGCTTTCTCGAGACAAGAGTGGTGTCTCAGGAAAAGGCATATCGAAACTTCGTAGGACTCCAATTGCACTCCTACCCCGCGCTCTCCGACCGAAGTCAAGCAGTGATGGTGACAATTAGCCCCATTTGGTGGGCTCTGACGATCGATCCGAGGACAACGAAGGGAACGTCAATCCTGAATGGTACAACAGCGGGCAGGCCAGGTAACTTAGGAATGTGAGACGGCCCACGCGTGCCACAAGATGGTAAATTGTCTATGCGTATACTAGTTTAACGGGCCTGAATCCTGAACTGGGTCCAGACGCTTTAGTTCGTCTTTTGGCAGGCCTATCTAAACTCTGGCGTGTACTCCTTTTATATATATAGGCGAAGACACCCGAAAAGGGTGAAGGCTTCTGAGATCGTGCTTCCCAGAAAAGCCCCGCCGGGGAAGACTCTATTTCCTTATTCGGAGAGATGAAGTCCGGGAAAATCTGGGATCATGCTAAGTATGACTGGGAGCATAGTTTAGCTGTGGTGATCAACTTTGAACCATCGGGGCTCATAAAAGCGTGGGCCGAACCTCGGGTCGATAGATGCATCACTTTCCCAGAGTCTTCTTAGGCGTATCAACAATCAGAAAGGACTGGAAATGACGAAATATCTGGGCCTACGCGGCAGCAAGCTTGTTTCCCTTATCACGCTATGCACTTCAATGGGGCAAGACTTCGGGCATGCGCATTCATTTCTCTTTTACCGTATGGCCACGAACCGCTGATTGATCGATTTCTTAGAAAGATTCGTTCTGATCGGGCATGACAACGGTCTCTATGACGGCATCATTGCCAATCCTCCATTTCAGGCATCCTTTCCTGAAACTGTTAGCATCCGGCACTCCTCTCGACGATTATGGCGATTTGCCCAGTGGGCGGCTGGGCAGGATGTATCCTCACAGCTTTCATCAGTGACTCACTTAGCAGTCATCGGAGGCGCCATCCTGAACATCAGTGCTCTTCTGCAAGTCGCAGCCTATGGTATTCCTCAATTAATCATCAGTCGAATGATTAGCGATCTGGGATACGGTCTTGTCATCAGTACCGTGCCCATCTTAAGCTCTGAAACTAGTGAGCGCAGACCGCGTGGCAGACCAGCTACGGTCAATTTCCTACTTGCAAACGTCAGTATGCACTTTGCTCTTGGCTGCAGTACAGAATCCTCTTCTCCAAGCATGACACGCTAACTGATTTGAGGCTCCTGTACTGTCTACTGAGCAAATTATGACTTTTCTCATGTCACTGGAAGCAAAGTTTAGCGTATTCCAGTGATCTTGCAGATTTTTATGTTCGCTTTCAGCATCGCCACCTATTTAGGACTCGAAAGTCCTCGATAGCTTGTCTTCTGAGGTCACAAGAAGAGACGTGGGACGTAATTTCCGCTCCCAAAGACCGTCCCCGCGACGATCTGAGGGTGCGAGCATTGCATCAATAAATTCTGGACGCTGTCGAGATCGAAAGAGCGGCAGGCTCTGGCGAATTGTCTCACTTAATATTTGGTGATGATCTAGGCTCTTAACGTTAAGTCGTTATTGCTTGTAAGGAGGAAAATCGATGCTGGGTACCCGTTTGGGATCTGATTATTCGATAGGTTCTATCCAGATTTTTCAACACCTCGGAGACATTAACGGCCTATTATACTATGTGCGTTTCATTATAGCATCTGGAGGAAAGAAGAAATGGTTACTAAGTACTTCTAGGAAACCACCATCTTTATCAGCGTCGCAGCCTTCTCGCTGAGCCTTGCGAACCTCTTGGCCGGCCCCCTTGCAACTTGGCTGGTGGTTGTTTCTTTCATCCCCATGTATCTTATCGACATCCTCTTTCACTTGTAGCTAGTCAATTAATTCTCTTCGTGCCGCTACAACCACACACCCTTTGAATTCAATTCTCGTTTTCGAATTTTGGAAGCCCACACTATCTGTACACGACTAGTTCAGATCGTATATTCCCAAGACAATCCGATCGTCCGACGACGCTCTAGACACTCCACGATGTTCTCCGTCCTCCGTCCTCCGTCCATACTGTCCATCTCCATCAGGCCCACGAGTCACTCGTACCTAATTAGCCGATTTTCGGCAATCGAGACAAGCCAATAGATTGCAATTGTTACCACAGTCGTATGAGTGGTGGGAGTAATCTTCATCGGTAGGGAATACTAAGGATGACTAGCCGACGGAAGACTTCCGCTACACTCATCCATACTGTAGTGTTTGTTATTACAGTGCGAGTACAATATCTGTGTAGTACAGTAAAACTTAGGTACGAGCATTCAAACGTGGATGACGTGGTCAATACGGCACTGGCTGGAGAGAGTTTGGAAATCTAGTTTGGCGCACACATTTAAAGCAGAGGAGCCAAGATTGGTGTCGGTATTTACATTACAAGCTTTACGTCTAGGTGACAGGGGAGAAGTGGGTCCAAATGGATTGTTAGAAATCTGTACACTAGAGGGTCCTGAAAAGTTGTCATGATCTTTGTATTTTTTTCATTGCTAAGGTATGATGATATTACCTAACTTTTAAGCATTATCCACAAAGCTTGTGCGGTTCTTGTCCTGTTTAGTGCTCGCGGGTTCTTCCGGGGTCGTGCCCCTTGGGGTCGAATTTCACCTCGTTTAAATTTAAGTTAAGGTTAGTTCGGCTCTTTAAAAAAGTACCTTAATCATTCAGGGTCAACTTGGCTATCTCCAGCATAGAAAGACAGGCCATGATCAGGATATCGAAAGAAGATGGTAAGTATATATAGCAGGAGACATGTCCGTATCGATCTGGAAAACTATCGTGATCATCCTCGTTTTGTGTGTGAATCCTACACCCTACATTCTCCAAGTCTTGTGACCAATCCCACCTTGACCTGAACAACTCTCGACCCAAAACCCAATCCCATTTCATCATGACCAGTACAGACTCTGTCCCCATGAAAGACTCGATAGAGCAAACTCTCCAGCACATTCGAACCGCAGAGAGCGTCTTCGTTCCAAAGGATGTGTTTGAAAAACTCTACCTCAACCCTGAAAGGCCAGTCGCCGGTCGACTTCGTCAGACGGTCGGCAATCCGACTCCGCTGGGCTTGATTGGATTCTTGCTGGCTGGAACTCCGAACGCCATAGCCTCCATGGGCTGGAGAGGTGCTGGCGGCAATGGCGGCGCACTCCTGTAGGCACCCACTCAAGTGGCTGGCGCACCAGTATCCTGCCAAAAGCATCGACGCTGACAGCCCCCACAGAACCGTCTTCATCTTCTTCGGAGGAGTCCTTCAAATTATAGGCGCCTTGGGAAATTGGATGTTGGGTAACACATTCTCTAGCACGGTATTCTTTACATTCGGTGGGTGCAACCCGAGCCTCCCACGGAGGATGACAGTACAAATCTGACCTGTGTCCGCGGTAGGTGGCTTTTGGCTCTCGCAAGGCACTGCCCTCCAGCCCTTTTATCCCATCGGCGCCGCCTATTCTGCCGCTGGCGACAATGCCGAGGGAATGACCACGCCCGGGTTCTATGCGACTACTGGTGAGCGTCGAAGATGAGCCGAGTCCTTGGGAAAATCCTGACTTGTGCAAAACAGGTTTCTTCTTTCTCTGCATGGCTGTGTTGACATACATGTTTGCCGTTTGCGCCGTCCGAGTTAATGTCATCCTCTTTGCCGGCCTCCATTTTCTTACTGTCGGATTCGGTTGTTTCACCGGTGTGTACTGGAACTTGGCAGAAGGGAATCATGAGATGGCAGCACGACTCCAGAAGGTAAGCAATCTCGGACGCTCAGAATTTGGTCTTGTGGACTTTGCTGTTGCACATGCACTGCAGGTATGTGAGAGTTTTGGACTGACTTGGACTTGAACGTAGGTCGGTGGAGCGTTCGTGTTTGCCTTGTGTGCAATCGTCTGGTATCTCTTGTTCTCGGAGCTCTTGGAGTCGGTTGACTTTCCAATCGCCCTTCCCGTCGGTGACCTGAGCCAGGTCGTGCCAGGCATGAAACGCAGGAGGGCATCATCTGATCCCGACAAGACCAAGTAAAATCCCATTAAGACTTGCCGTAACCTATATTCTCGAATGGCCGACATAACTTGTTGGTTTTGCGGTTTCGAGGGGTGGACGAGCCGATGACGAGGATCAATTGCGTTGTCGATTTATCCGACGGCGGGTCGTGCGTGGGTCTGCCGAATGTACTTGAAATACGCAGTGTGAACTAATTATATTCCTACACATGGTTATTCCACGTGCAACACGGTGAGTAGGACGGCACGTAGCTCGTGTTAATCGGTGATCAGGGTCGAAATCATTATGGTTCACGCGTTGTGTGGAACGAAGAGAAGTCTTTCTGATGAAGCTCTAAACATTGATCGTTACTCGTCCTACGGCCAATCAAGGTATTGCGATTGCAATTTAACTGCAGTTTTACACAACCAAGTGCAAGATGATGACACGTGAGGCTAAACACAATGCGGGGTCCCCTTTTTGCGGAACTCCCGCTTTCGGCTTACTCAGTTTGAGCCACGTCACCTCCCGTGGATATGCCTGGTGCACATGGCGAATAAGCACCAGTTACCGCTGCAGTGGCCTAAAATGTCTCCCGTGCATTACGGAGTAACGTAGTATCGCAGTAAAACTAATTATCCGAGGTGAAAAACACAGAGTGGCGTGCCTTCGACAATATGTCGAAAGTTTTCGCTATTACTCGAACGAGTATCTGTAGCCCGCTCTAAACGGTATCACGGATCTTGTGTACCGTAGTAGAAGCACCGGCAATTTCTTTTTTTCTAGGAATGTAGTATAGTACCCCGTACTAACACCCTCTACGTGCATACGGAGGTGTGGAGGTACTCCTAGGATGAGGCCTCATCTCCTCGTTCCCCCAGCAGCTTCTCCATACTGTCCACAATGGACTTCCTCGGAGCAACCACCCCAAGGGGGCACCGGAATGGTTCCAGAATTCCATTTGATATGCCACCACCAGCACGGCACTGAAACGATCAAAAGATTTTGTTCTCGGGTTTTCCTTGCTGACTTGCTTTTCACCGACTCTAAAACAAACACAGTCCGCCTTGGCTATCCGACACATTCTAGGCTTTGATTTCTCCAGACATTTACAGCATCAAATGCAAGGCCAAGACCAGGACCATGTCACACCACGCAGAAGAAGGGGTGGAAAAACATGCGAGAATTGCCACAGCCGCAAAGTCCGGTGCGATGTTGCCATCAGCGAAGTACCCTGCACCAATTGTCGTTTAGACAATCACCAGTGTGCAATACGCGCACCCCTCAAGCGGTAGGTTTGTGTTCAACTTTGCACCTCGCGGATTGATGCATCCAAGATCAGATCTCTTATGCATCTCAGGCTCCACTGACCATCTTGATGAGAAGTGGTCCGAAACGTCGGCAAGCACTTCCTAGCAAAACACCCCACGCAATGAGCGCACGACGAAGCAGTCGAAAGCACGATCCATCGGTGACGACCAAGATAGCATCGAGGACAGAAGCAGACTCTGGATATGTGGGTAATTGTGCTGGAGACGGTATCACACTCCTTTTTCCGTCTCAAGCACGCTGATCGGCGTTAGAAAATTTGCCAAGGTTCAATCTTTGTTACTGACTCCTGATCCATTCCACCCCTCTAGAATCCATCCCAGCCACCGACACATATGTCCCTTTCTACTATTACCCATTCCTGCAAGTAGGGGACGTTGGCTCTCTCGGCCCGAACGATGTACAACTTCTGGAGCAGCAGTTTTGCTTCAAAGTGCCAAGCGGTTCAGTTCTGCATGACTTTGTTCGAAAGTATTTTCTCTACGTCCATCCTTTCCTCCCACTCCTCGACGAGGGCAATATCTGGACCCTGTATCTGCGGCGGGCAAATGACCGAAGTGAGCTTCGAGGACTGTCGCTCACCTTGTTCCAGGCATTGCTATTCGCAGCAGGTAGGGTAAGCTGAGAATACAACCCCAAGGCCTTCCCTTCCAGAACCACTCTTTCTCAAAATTCGCCCCTGCTAAAACAAACCACCAGTTCGTCTCCTTGGACTCGATTAAAGCTTGCGGATTTGAGACTCCCGCACAAGCACGTGCTGCCTTCTCTCGTCGTGCCGAGGTGAGTTATCACCCTTTATTAGCCTTGAGCGTGCCATTGATAACACTCTTGCAGCTTCTTCTAGACTATAAACTTGAACGCGACAGTATCACTCGCGCTCAGACCTCACTCCTACTCTCCCTCCGGTCGACCTTGAATGACCAGAGTCTCAATTCTGTTTGGTTGTCAATCGCGATCAAACATGCAAAAGAGGTCGACGCGCAGCACTATCATCGGGATGCCACTAGAAGATCCGGAGAGACCGTCACCAAAAAACGGCTGTGGTGGTGCTGCATCCTTCGCGATCGGATGATAGCCATTGGAGTGCGACGGGCCATTCAAATCACACCTATCGACTTTGACTTTGACCAAGAGGGGCTGAATGAAGTCGACCTGACCGACGAAATCGAACGTTCCGAAGTTTACAATAGCGAAATCAAACGGCTGCTTGTCAAGGTTGTGATGATGCAATGCCAATTTGCCGTTGCGGTAACACCGACCATGTTGGTAATTCATCATGACCTCTCACTTCCTTGCACTCCGACGCTTCCTCGACTATTGTCGTCTCTGACGGAAATCGAACGAAGCAAGACCGAGCTCCAAGTCTGGGCGAGAAGGACAAAATCCGACTTAATATTTCAGATTTCACAAAACACGCCAGCCGCCATGAAGGATTCGGTCAGTCTGTTTACTGATATGGCATACATTTACTATCAGTGAGGGAACGTCCGAAAACATGAGATGGTGGGCCAGCTGACGCGTGGTCCAGCTCTTCGCAGATCGCGCTCTGTAATTATTCAATTTCGGTCTTGAAACGGTTTTCTGGTCACTTGACCGATTACACTGACCGTCTCGACAAATTGAGACGTGAATTACAACTTGCGGCCGGAAATATATTGGAGAAGATGAAGGGGTTAGCCAGCCGAGGAGTGGCTCAGTATTTGCCCATCAGTGCGTAAGTTTATCCATTAACCGCCCTTTCTGTTGTCTACATGACGTGGTAGACTCGGCTATTGTATTAACCACGGAAAACATCAGGCCCGCCTGCTTTGCGCTACCGTACCTGTTGCAGCTACTGGACATGAAACTCTCGTCGCCCAAGGGGAGGGAAAATACACAGTCACAGCTAGTCTGCTACAGAAACCTCATGGACAAGCTCAGCACTCACCACGACCACACCGAATGTGTCACCTCGGTCATGCATCAATTGACGCCTATAGTGGATTTGGAGGTCCAAAGGCTGTCGTGCGTACCCAGGACCTTTTCGCCCGACAGTGGCAGCATATGGTCCACTTCGGAGCTCACACCCTCGAATTGGTACGATGTCTTCGCCATCGATCCACTGACGTACCTGAGACTTTCCTTGCTGCTCGACATCTCTTTCTCTCGAGGCAAGTCACCGAGCACGGTGGACCTTCCCAACTGGGCACTCGACGACACCGCCTCCGGATCGAGACTACCGCGGACATGGATGTGGTATGATTCCTTCTCCTCGGCGATAACGACCACGATGCCTCAAGATCTTTGTGAGGTCAGGGAAATTATTCCGGTGAGCTGGGAAGAATCGAACGATCAATGTGAGACTTTACTCCTCGGAAGTTATGAGGTATAGAGTGCTAAATCCAATTGGCAGCGTCGACAAGATATCACCTCAAAGTTCCTGATCTTGCTGGGCCTTGGTACTTGACATGAATGGTCGACATGGAGTTTCGTTTGGGAAGGGTTCGACTGTTCGTGGATTAAAGAGCTACATGAGTTGGGTTTAATACGTCGTGAGACAGTATGGTTTCTATCTTCTAGAGGAATTTTGAGTAAAATAAAGATTGCCCCTTTGTACGAAAGGAATTGGGTATGTTGACCAATAGTTTACTTGTTGTTTATTAATTTAGTATTTTAACCGAAAAAAATTAATATTCATTAATTAATAAGTCTTATTAATTAATAAATACAAAGCCGACGCTTTTTTCAGTATCCGCCTGAATCACAAGTACTACTTAAGTATGGCATCTTAAGCTTAGCAGTGGATCCTGGTGTTATCCCCACCGAATTGAACAGGACTAGAAGTTATTGCGGCCATTTAGCGATGAGATAAAGATGGGAAAATCCATATTAAAAGACACTTGGGGCTGGAGCAGCTACTACCCTTGTTGCTGCGACCGATCCGAAGCTTCGCTTACCACTGGCAAAAATGGCAAGGAGGATTACGGCGCATATCTAGCTAATTGTCAGATCAGTGACCATGTCAACTCTTGGGCTCTATCAAGTGTTAATTCAGACCGATTGTGGGCATTATCGGAGGATTGGATCCATGAGAAGTGCACCTAAGACTTGTCCCACGCTAGCTGCGCGGACTTATATGGAGCGCTCTGAGCCGAACAGATCGAGTCATCCCTATCTTTCGACAAGTTCTCGTTGTTCATTCTCAGGCCAACGTATCTGTACCCTTTCATCTCTAACAACGCCGTTAACATCGACATTGGAACCCCGCCATTCTTGTACCCCCAAAGAATAGGATTGGCCAGCTCGAATTGTGCATCTGTATCCAGTGGCTGAATTTTCGATGTATGTTTGCGTACTACATTATAGTATTGGGCTTGCCAGAGTCCAGAACATGCCCGTCTTTTCACAGTCGATTCATTAATCCGCCCTTGAGACTAGTAATTTATAGGTTAACCCGCGATCCGACCTTTTTCTCCTTAAGCGCCTCAACTACCTCCTCCGCGCCACGTTCTCCGCTCCGAACAGCACCCTCCATATATCCCTTCCAAACCACACTGGTCTCAGTGCCCACGAAGTGCACGTTACCAAACGGTGCGCGGATGGCATGGCCGACACTGCTCATAGTCCCAGGCGCCGTAACAGGACATGGACATCCTTTGCTGAACTCCTCCTTGGCCCACTCTATCTCAAACAACTCTACAGGTGCATAGATAAGTTCTTTATCAACGCCG